CACCTAGGCTCATACAATATTTTCCAACCCCTATTCACTATAATTTACATTATTGCTCCTTTGGGATTCAGAAAACCCCACTTAGGAATTAACTATTTACTCATAAATACTTGTGCATATTGTTCTTCAGCTTCGACAAAAATGAACCTCTTAATATCATAGGAAGAGAAAGCCTTCTTCTTAATAGCTTGCACTTTTGGGGCCATTTGAAAATAATTTTAGTAGGAGAAGAGGAAATCATAAAATCATAAATCAAGAGAAAATTCTTGAAGGTTTGACACTTAATCTCCTAGCATCCTAGGATGTCTACCTTATAGTTAATTGGTTTGGGTCGATTGGTTAGATCTCTCTCCTTATTCTTAGAAGGAAATTTTGAAGGCTCAAATCTTAGATCTAATAAGGATAGAAACAAGAAAGATCTAGTCCTCCCTTAGGTTTATATGACTCCATCAACTTCACATAAATCATAAATTAGATAGGGATAACCTAAACCCACTGATGTTGACCCCCTAAGCATGCACTAAATGGTTTGGAACATAATCTTTTCAAAGTTTATTGTAAACTCCTTTTGAATTCACTATTTCAAAACAAACCTATCCTTAGTAACTTCACTAATATTTTTTCTAGGCATGAGCTTCATAAAAATAAAGTAGTCTTAGGACTTTGACTCCTTGTGTAAGGACAAATGTGGGAAAGTTTATTTTTTTTATCCTCTCTACTCTTGCACTAAGCATTAGAGTCCATATAGGTTAATAACCTAAGAACTTCTTCATGATCAACAGAAGAAGTATAGAAATTCAAGTACTCATCCCCAACAAATTGATAATTGGGAGTTTGAAAGACTTGGTTAATAGCTACGAGGGTAAATAGGACCTCTTTCTCTCGAAAAAATAATAATTCACCATGAGCCTCCTTTGCGTTAGTAAAACATTCTTGTGCAATAAGAACTATATCGGGTCTATGCCAACATATAAAAAATTCATAGTTCTTCTCCACCATTAGGGGCTCTACCTCCTCCCTAAGATTAGTTAATGTTTTGTTTACCAAATTGTTATATCTTTCTTTTGTGGCAGCAATCACAAATTTCTTGGGATTGTGAGAAGATGATCCAAATCTCTTTATATCATTGGTGAGATTGGTGGCCATTTGAAATGATTGAAATGGGAGTGCTAAATTATAATTCAACACTAGAGATAAAGATTTGTAAGTGAATTAAAATGAGTTAGCCCAAATGGTATTTAAAATAATTAGTGCTCCGGTGTTGGATCAACTTGCATAAAGATATTATATGCACTACGACACTAAATCCAGATTGCACCATGACACTAAATTTGAAACTTATGTTTACAGGCTTTTTGATAATCATACTATCAGTGTGTTTGATACATGGTACTGTTGCGATGCTCAAAGTGATTTCCATCACGGTGCTTCATCTAATTGAATAATGAGTATGATCGGGCATTACAGCACTGAAGTCAATGCTGTGATGCTTGAATAAATTCTAGAAAATCTACTATCTTAATATGAAAGTGTTGTATGTCTGGCTTTGTTGCACGAGGACTGATTTGGTTTTGTGGTGTAATTTCCTTTAGTATTATGGCTCTATTTTAACATTTCAAATTTTATAACTGTAATAATACAATAAAACTTAGGTACTAAACACTATAACACTGACAAGTTTTCTCAAATAAGCCCCACACATAAGATAAAGTCCATTACACACATTATAACTTTAATATGACACAAATTAAACCTAACCAATGAAATTTATAATCACAAGCATATACATGATTCACAAATAATTTATCATAATACCAAACAAGTACAATCAATTGGGTTACGGCCACCCATACAATGCTATGTTTACAATCTTCAACCAGACTATTCCTATCTTTTATTTAGGATGATCCAACTCTATTAAACTCCTTAGGTTATTTCCCCTCCTAAATATGACTTTAGTCTCTTCCACTGATTTTGAAAGTTTGAGCAATCTTGTTATCTTTAATTTTTATAGCTACATAAGGATACCCATAATCCCAATAAATGGTCCTAGCTACTTGAAAATTCAGCTTCCTAGGAAATATTTTTAACCTTGAATTATGCAAAATCACTTCTTATCTATTCTCAAATTCCTTTTTTATAAGCTTACCATCATGCCACTTTTTAATTTGCTTATGACTCAATTTAGCATTTTTATAATCTTCACTTCTAAATTCTTCCAACTCATTCAATTGTATTTGCCTTTTTCTCCTTATCATCTTTAAGTTTATAATTTAATTCTTTCACTACCCAAAATACTTTATACTCTAACTTTAATAGTAAATAAAAATCCTTTCCAAAATTTAACTATATAAATGCATTCCAATTGGGGTCTAAAATGTAGTTATATAAGCCCATAGTTTGTCATTTAGTTTTAATACCCAATCTTTCTTATTTAGAATCATAGTCTTCTATAATATTCTCTTGATTTTCCTATTGTATAGCTTGGCTACTAGTTTGAGGATGATAAGCAGATGCTACACTATGATTAAATTAATATTTTGAAATTAAATATTCCACTCTCTTATTATAAAAATGACTATCTCTATCTCTAATGATGACTTTAGGTACTTTAAATATAAAAAATATATTTTTTTCTTAAAAATTTAATCACTACTTGAGCATTATTTTTTGTTGTTTCAATTCGCTCGATCCAATTAGAACATATTCAACTGCTATCAGAATATCTTGACTTCCACGAGATTGAACAAAATGGCCCATAAAGTCTAATCCCCAAACATAAAAAATCTCCACTTCTAACAGGTAGTTAAGAGACATTTCATATATCTTTGAATATATTTCCTACCTTTTCACATCTTTCATATCTTTTTACATACTCATTCACATCTTTCTATAGGGTAGGCAAGTTCTAAATCCTCCAATAATTCTCTTCATACTCAAAATCATGGCACTATTGACATCATTTTTGTATGCGATCAATCCTTCCTTGAACTTAATTCAATCATTCAACTCAATTCAATCATTACATTTCATTGAATGTTCAAAATTCATTCACACTTAGATCATTCATAACGTTTAGCCATAGTGCTCAATCATTAAATCTCTAATCATGATTCAATCATTAATTATAAAAGCATGATAAATCATTAATTGATTTTTTTAATCATTCAATGGTTTTCAATCAATCCATTTCAATAATTTAATCACTTCAATTCAATGATAAAACTCAAGTTTAATCGCCCATTCAATCACATTTAATCAACTTCAATCTAATCATCAAGCTCAATCATGTTTTTTCAATTGCTAAACTCGATCATTGAATGACTTTCAGTCATGCTAAATCATTCAATCATTTTAAATATTCAATCATCAAAAATCCAGTTCAAATCTAAACCATAAAAGCCTTGTATTTTTCCTTTGAAGGAAAATCTTTAGCTTGCTCATGTAACACCCAAGAATCAAATTTAGAAGAATTGTCAATTTAATATTTTAAAAATATACTAGAGCTTCTATAAATCATCAATATAAATAATAACCAGTAAAAGCAACTAAAATTATATATATCAATATATTTTATTATTTATTCACCTAAAATATTATTTACTCTAGCTATGAGATCAATACAATAACTAATCTATCACAAGATCCTAACTACAAAATAATAAAAGAAATACAACATAAAATCTAAAAAAAAAAAAAAGAATCTCTGACAATCTCACTTCAACTGGTCTTGACTCATTCCCTAACCTAAAATCATTAAAAATCTACATAATGAGCTCAAAAGCCCAACAGTAATCTAAACTTACTAAAGCTTTCAATGCAAGGACTAAAGAATTAATATGCTATACTCAATCTAATATAATCAATGATAGTCAATATAGCTAATGACTAAATATTATCAATAAAAAACACAATTATCAATAATAAAAGCAGATAATCATTATAATGAATCTAAAAATCAATAATTTATATAAAATTCAATAAATAAGTAAAATAGCAGTGCATAAATTATTCATAAATCACTAAATAAATCTATCTTCTTTATTCATATGCATCATCTGTTTATGTATTATCAATACATTCAATAATATTAATGATATTAATATATCTATCAATATCGTCATTATCAATATATGCATGCATTAATGTATGATTTAGCAAGGCAGAACATTTAGCTTTAACATGATGTTTTCAACATCTTTTACCCAAATTGATTCCCAATTAGTCATATCAATAATCACTTATCTAGTTAATCAATCATCACTACACGTGGCATCATTAAATCAATAAAGAGCCGTCACTCTCTGCCCGATAGCGTACTTGAAAATTTGTTACAGGCTGCAACCGTGATAACACCATAAACCACATTTAAGGTAAAGCTCGTTGGTCCACCCTTCTGCGTAGGATATTATATTTTAACATCAAATTGATTTTATACTATTAACAACCAGCCTTTCTTGCTTATGCAAATGCTACAATCAAAATGCGATAGGAAATAATCAATTTTATTTATTACAAGAAAATTTATATAATAATCAAAATCATTGAAAATTAAAATGAGATTTGAATTACATACAACAAATATAAGAATTCTTTGAACAAAATTGTTAGATGAAGAAGTCCCGAACAACATTCTCTCTCTTCTATCTCTCTTTTTTGGCAAGACAACGCTGAAATTAAAATTTTTTCACTTCAAAAAAATTATTTTAAAAAAAAAAATCGAATTATTACAATTCAAACTCATAGTAAAGTGTTAAAAACAATGTTTGAAAATTCACATATTATTTAGCCTCCTCCTAAGGAGCCGTTATTACGTCCTCCGACCGGATGCAGAGGAACATTCGGTCATAGGCAAAATACCGCCTATACCGAGGTGTACCGAGTTTTTTCACCTCGGTATAGATGATTTTTTGTCTAAGACTGAATGCTTTTTGCATCTGGTCAACCGAACCAAATAAAAGCGCCCTCCTAAGGCTAAGAGTTTCCCTGGGCATTGCCGGGGAGCAGAAATATTTTGCATAGCCTTGCTGCTTGAACCTATCAAAAAATTCAGATGTTAAAATGACATTATGTCTTTGAATAGAACCAATTTGGCTGGAATGCACAATGTGAGTCATGACAGACCTAGACGATTAGCCGCAACTTTTCAGTTCCGTCCTCGCTTGCTCGTTCTCGATCTCAACCAGCTTCCATGGCATTCTCTTTCCTCAACCGCCGCCGTCTTCGCCTCTTCTTCCTCCTTCCCAGACCTCCTCCGCCAATTTCTCTTTCGGTCCAGCGCTTTCTATCAGATAAAGCGGTCGCCACACCTCTTCCCAACCCCCACTTGGATCCAAAAATGTCGCTATCCGCCCGCCTCTCTTTCGTCTTCGATCAGATTGATGCCCTCGAGCGCCAGCGCAACACTTCCGCCAAGGATGAGGCTCTTCAACGCATTCGCGCCTGGAGCCAGTCGAAGCACCCACCTCCGCCGCCCTCTTCCTCCACATCCACCGCAGCTGCAGATACAGTTGCCGATGCAGGAAGTAAAAGTGGCGATGCCCAGATGATAGAGGACTCCAATCGGGCTGAAGTCGGAATGGCGGAGTTCTTCCGGCGGGAAGTGGAGGTTGTACATCCCTGGCCGGAGTGGATTGAGCTGATGGAGAGGCTCGCCAACCAGAATTATTTCGATTACCGGCGAGTAGAGGAGGACTGCATCGCTGCCAAAGCTGGGATTGATATATCCGGAGTGAAGGAGGAGGTGGGGTTGGACCTTACTAGGGATTGGGCAGCTGTGAGAACCGCTTGTATGAATTTTGGCCGAGACCGGTTTGATATTCTTAAGTATGCTGCTTTTCTAGTTTACTCTCTAGTTTCTCCCGCGTAATGCTTGACTGAAAGTAGCACGCATGGCTGTAGGTTGCTTTCTGATTAACTTTGTATGTTTTGTTCAGGGGGAAAAGTTCCTCGTCAAAATTTGTACATGTTGAATTCTACATATCTTGCAGAAATGTATTAGTCTTACTGTTTAAGGTTCAATTTAAGAACCATGTGCCAATGTTTGGTTTTACCTCTAGTTTTGTTTATTTTGTGAGTTGATTTGGATGGAAAATTCTTCCCTGATCTAGTAGATATTTTATTCTGCAACTTAAAAATGTGAATTATTTTAACCGGCTAAATTGTTAATTTCCATTATGATTTGAGGCCTTTAATTCATCAGTAGATGAATGCATTTGAGAAGGATTACACTGTTCGCCAACATATACATGATTGCACTTTGTAATCCCAAATTATTCTGAAAATTGTACTTCAATTTTAGTACTTTTTATTTTTTTCGGAAAGAATTTCTAGTTCTATTTTAGTACTTTTTTTCTGCAAGTTATTGTTGGTTTTGTCTATTTGTTGTTGCGTAATCTAAATCTATAATGGAATTTTAGGTCTTTACCAAGGAAGGATATTCAGGTTTTGGTAGGTCATGGATGCCCCAGCATGGACTCAAAAGTTGTCTTCTCGGCTAAGCTGTTGAGAAAGTACCTTCATATTGATGAAGGAGATGTATGTATCTTTCATTTTCAATCTGCTTGGATTTTCTTACCAGTTCAATTGCTTTCCTTATTATGATGTTTTCAATTTATGAACCAGTTTTTTTTTACTCTTGTTAGTTTCTACATTAAGCGACAGGAGTAGTAAGGATTTAGTTAAAGTGAAGTGTATTAAGGATGAAGATAAAAAATTATTTTTATTAGAATATTCAACAAATGTGGATGAGATATTTTGCTAAACTTTTCAATGAAGGTTATGAGAATGCAATTGACTTTAGTGACCTTAGAAACCTAAATAAAAATAAAGATTTTTGTATTTTTCAGTGTATAAGTAAAGCTGAAGTATTAGAGGCTTTAAAAAAATGAAGTGTGGAAAAGCTGTTGGACTTGATGATATTCCAATAGAGGTGTGGAAATGCTTAGGAGATGTAGAAATTTCTTGGCTTACTAAACTTTTTAATATTATTTTAAAGACTAAAAAAGATGCCAGATGAGTGGAGAATGAGTGTGTTGATTCTTATTTTTAAGAATAAAGGTGATGCACAAAATTGTATGAATTATAGAGGAATTAAGTTAATGTGCCATACTTTAAAATTATGTGAGAGAGTTATAGAGCATAGGTTTCAGCATGATACTAATGTTTCTCAAAATCAATTTGGATTCATGCTAGGTAGGTCTACTTTGGAAGCTATGCATTTATTGAGAGGTTTGATGGAGAATTATGGAGAGAATAAGGATGATCTACATATGATTTTACTGATTTAGACTTCGTTTGTGATGGCTTTTTTACTGCTTTTAAAGCAGCTTTTGAGTACAAAAATTTTAATTTATGTACTACAAAACTATTTTAAGAAGCAGTAAAAAAGCCGTCCCAAATGAAGCCTTAGAGAAAGCATATGATAAAGTTTCAAGAGAAGTGCTATGGAGAGTTCTATATAAGAAAGAAATTAATAATGCTTATATTTAAGTCATTAAGGATATGCATGCAGGAGCTATTACTTGTGTTCAAACATAAGGTGGTTTGACCAAGTATTTTCCTACTTTCGTTGGATTACATCAAGGATCAGCCTTTAGCTCATATCTTTTTTGCTTTAGTCATGGATGTTCTCATTAGGCATTTGCAAGACATTGAACATTGGTGTATGCTTTTTGTTGATGACAAGGTTTAAAATTGCGTATTTAAGCCTCGAGGCGGTTTTCGTCCGTGAGGCGAGGCATAAGCCTCAAGGCGGTCTGAGGCGTAAGCCTCACGGACATAGAATTGCGTAAATGAAAAATTAAGGGTTTTATTTGCAAGACATTGAACATTGGTGTATGCTTTTTGTTGATGACAAGGTTTAAAATTGCGTATTTAAGCCTCGAGGCGGTTTTCGTCCGTGAGGCGAGGCGTAAGCCTCAAGGCGGTCTGAGGCGTAAGCCTCACGGACATAGAATTGCGTAAATGAAAAATTAAGGGTTTTAGTAGGAAAATAATAGCAATATTCTATCTTACAATAAAAACATCTAAATGATATATGAAAATAGTGGAAA